AAGATGGTTAATGGTATCGTGACAACCCTAGTAGAAAATGAATTATATTTAATTAATCAACTAATTTAACAAAAAATCTTTCTTTTTTTTTTTTTTCACGTTCTACTGAAGAAAAAGTCACCTACATATTGAAACTTAGCCAGGGGGCGAGAAGATTATCAGCTAATTTAATTTTTTTAAGTGACTATCCCTTTAAGATTAGTAAAATAGGAACTAATCAACACCAGTTTTCTCTGGTTTTTTGTGCAAAATAGAGGAAACGCTAAGACAAGTCATGCAAAGATGTCAGATACCACAGGAAGTTCATGATCTTTGCACCCACTAAAATAACTATAAAAATGCTGCAAATCAACAGTGCAATATCAAACATGCAACTTTTTTGGGTTTATTATAACGTAGATCTGCATATGTTGCTAAAGACTAATAAGCATACATGCAATTTATGTCCTTTATAAGGTGCTGGATTTCTAGTTGGTGCATTTCTTAGCATTCAGACTATATTCCAAATAAATAAAGGAAAATCAGTTAATCTGGGATTTCAGTCAGGATTCACAGTGCTTCTTGACATTTTTCAGCTTTTCAGCTAATCCAGTTGAAAGCTAATTTAAAGTCCAACCAAAACCAGCTTTGGCCAAAAGGTTTTATACTGTCTCTCACAGCAGCATCCAACTAATAGGGTGAGCCAGCTAATAATAATCTTAGACCAGGCAGAAAGCTTGCACTTTATGCAGTACATAAATTTGATGCTCATTTTGTCATCGGTAATACATTAAAGAGGTAATGAAGACAAGTGAAGACCTGCAAACCATCTCAGACTATTTACGAGAGCTTCATCCCCCCTGAAGGGTTGTTAGTGTCAGGGTTCTGCCACTTTGGTCTTGTAAATTCTTGTTTTGGTGGCAGAGCTCTGACACTACTCCACGTCTGGTCCTGTTTCTGTCTCTGTGTGCGCGCGCGCGCCGTCGTGGGTGTACGCAGAGTGTGCGCGCTGCCACTTGATGTGGCCGCGCACGCTCTGCGTCCCTCAGACGCGCGCGCTCTTGTACTAGTGTTTGTGTTTGTTCTGTCAGCAGCGCGCTGCTTTATTCTCGGCGCCTCCGTCTAGTTGGTTTCAGTTTTGGTTGGCGCTGAGATGAAGCATGCGCGTTGCTTATGTGTGAGCGCACGGTAAGGTATTTATCTATCGTGTGCTCGTGTCTTGCGTCTCTTGTCAAAGCACGTGGCTTGGTGTTTACATTGTGGTCACGTGCTTTTGTCGTGTGCTTCAGTGTTGCGTTATGTGAGCGCATGGCTTGTATTGTCTCTCTGTGTCATGCGCTCTCCCGTCTATTGTCTAGTCCCACCCTCCTTGTTTACTCATTATTAGTTTGTCATGTTCACCTGTGTGTCAATTTACTTTTTGCTTTATAATCCCCCTCATGTTTTCAGTCATTTGCCTGTTCGTCGTCGTCGTTATTTCCATGTCGTGTGCTATCCAGTCCTGTTTGTCCTGCCAGCCCATCCAAGTTTGTTTGAGTGTTTGTTTTATAGTTATGTTTTTCCCCCTCGGGGTGGTTTTTGTTCTAATTTTGTTTTATTTTTATTATCAATAAATCATCCTGTTTGCACTTGAGTCCTCGCTCCCTCATCCTTCCCGAACCCTGACAGTACGAACAGGCCAAACAGAGGACTCAGCAACAGGATGAGCATAATTATCCTTCCACCCACCACAGCAGAGGAGAGACAGAGGCGCCTTCAGGGGCTGGTGTCGGCCCGCCAGCAAGGTCTGGAGGTAAAAAGCTTTGCCCAGTTTTTTTGGACTTACGCTAGGGGGCTTGAGTTTGATGACGCCACTCTGAAGGAAGCTTTTAATCTCTGTCTCGATGAACCCCTGCCACAGTGGGAGATGGATCAGCTTGGGGTGTTGGACTTCTGGGGCTTCTCACTTTATCTCCACCACCGCAAGGATTGGCAGATCCTCACACCACCTCCAGCTGATTGTGGCAAATACTCCACCCCTCCTTCCTCTACGAGTGCAGCTCATGACCTCTCTCTTACTCGGTCGAGTAAACGGAGGCTGCAGAGAAAGAGGGCTGCCCAAACTGCTGCATCAGCCCCAGAGCGCCCTCCAGTGTCGGCTCCAGCCCCAGAGCGCCCTCCAGTGTCGGCTCCAGCCCCAGAGCGCCCTCCAGTGTCGGCTCCAGCCCCAGAGCGCCCTCCAGTGTCGGCTCCAGCCCCAGAGCGCCCTCCAGTGTCGGCTCCAGCCCCAGAGCGCCCTCCAGTGTCGGCTCCAGCCCCAGAGCGCCCTCCAGTGTCGGCTCCAGCCCCAGAGCGCCCTCCAGTGTCGGCTCCAGCCCCAGAGCGCCCTCCAGTGTCGGCTCCAGCCCCAGAGCGCCCTCCAGTGTCGGCTCCAGCCCCAGAGCGCCCTCCAGTGTCGGCTCCAGCCCCAGAGCGCCCTCCAGTGTCGGCTCCAGCCCCAGAGCGCCCTCCAGTGTCGGCTCCAGCCCCAGAGCGCCCTCCAGTGTCGGCTCCAGCCCCAGAGCGCCCTCCAGTGTCGGCTCCAGCCCCAGAGCGCCCTCCAGTGTCGGCTCCAGCCCCAGAGCGCCCTCCAGTGTCGGCTCCAGCCCCAGAGCGCCCTCCAGTGTCGGCTCCAGCCCCAGAGCGCCCTCCAGTGTCGGCTCCAGCCCCAGAGCGCCCTCCAGTGTCGGCTCCAGCCCCAGAGCGCCGCTCAGTGCCGGTCCCAGTCCGGCTCCTTTTCCTGCCGGCGCCACCCAGACGTCTTGCCCAGCCGCCTCCAGCCCGGCACCTTGCCCTGCCGGCACCTACCAGACGTCTTTCCCTGCCGGCTTCAGCCCGGCTCCTTGCCCTGCCGGCACCACCCAGACGTCTTTCCCTGCCGGCACCTACCAGACGTCTTTCCCTGCCGGCACCTACCAGACGTCTAGCCCTGCCGGCTTCAGCCCGGCCCCTTGCCCTGCCGGCACCACCCAGACGTCTTTCCCTGCCGGCACCTACCAGACGTCTAGCCCTGCCGGCTTCAGCCCGGCCCCTTGCCCTGCCGGCACCACCCAGACGTCTTGCCCAGCCGGCTCCAGCCCGGCACCTTGCCCTGCCGGCACCTTCCAGACGTCTAGCCCTGCCGGCTTCAGCCCGGCTCCTTGCCCTGCCGGCACCACCCAGACGTCTTGCCCTGCCGGTCCCAGCCCGGCTCCTTGCCCTGCCGGCACCACCCAGACGTCTTGCCCAGCCGGCTCCAGCCCGGCACCTGGCCCTGCCTGCACCTACCAGACGTCTTTCCCTGCCGGCACCTACCAGACGTCTAGCCCTGCCGGCCCCAGCCCGGCTCCTTGCCCTGCCGGAACCTACCAGACGTCTAGCCCTGCCGGTCCCAGCCCGGCGCCTTGCCCTGCCGGCTCCCCTCTGGTCTCTAGCCCTGCCGGCCCCAGCCCGGCTCCTTGCCCTGCCGGAACCTACCAGACGTCTTGCCCTGCCGGCTCCCCTCTGGTCTCCAGCCCTGCCGGCTCCCCTCTGGTCTCCAGCCCTGCCGGCTCCCCTCTGGTCTCCAGCCCTGCCGGCCCCCCTCTGGTCTCCAGCCCTGCCGGCTCCCCTCTGGTCTCCAGCCCTGCCGGCTCCCCTCTGGTCTCCAGCCCTGCCGGCTCCCCTCTGGTCTCCAGCCCTGCCGGCTCCCCACAGGCCTCCAGCCCAGCCGGCTCCCCACCGACCTCCTGCCTTGTCTCCCCTGATAGACTCTCCCTGGGTCGTCCCTCCTGCTCCTCCCTGGTGTTCCTTTCCTCCACCCTGGACGGACCCACCGGCTCCACCCTGGTTCCCTGCTGGGGCTCCTGACCCGCTCGACCCACCCTGGACAGTTCCTCCGGTCCCACCCTGGACTGATCCTCCCTTGTCTTGCCCTCCCATCCCTCCCTTGTTTGTCGTTTTGGGTCTGGCTTGGCTTCCCTCCCTCCCCCCCTTCATGTCGTCTTGCCTGTTCACCTCCCTGTCTTGTGTCTCTTGATGTTGCCAGTTTTGTTGTCTTGTAGTGTTTCTTGTCTGTCTTGTACCTTGTTGGATGTTCCCTTTAGGGACGCCAGGTGGCGTCCCTTTTGGGGGGGGCTAGTGTCAGGGTTCTGCCACTTTGGTCTTGTAAATTCTTGTTTTGGTGGCAGAGCTCTGACACTACTCCACGTCTGGTCCTGTTTCTGTCTCTGTGTGCGCGCGCGCGCCGTCGTGGGTGTACGCAGAGTGTGCGCGCTGCCACTTGATGTGGCCGCGCACGCTCTGCGTCCCTCAGACGCGCGCGCTCTTGTACTAGTGTTTGTGTTTGTTCTGTCAGCAGCGCGCTGCTTTATTCTCGGCGCCTCCGTCTAGTTGGTTTCAGTTTTGGTTGGCGCTGAGATGAAGCATGCGCGTTGCTTATGTGTGAGCGCACGGTAAGGTATTTATCTATCGTGTGCTCGTGTCTTGCGTCTCTTGTCAAAGCACGTGGCTTGGTGTTTACATTGTGGTCACGTGCTTTTGTCGTGTGCTTCAGTGTTGCGTTATGTGAGCGCATGGCTTGTATTGTCTCTCTGTGTCATGCGCTCTCCCGTCTATTGTCTAGTCCCACCCTCCTTGTTTACTCATTATTAGTTTGTCATGTTCACCTGTGTGTCAATTTACTTTTTGCTTTATAATCCCCCTCATGTTTTCAGTCATTTGCCTGTTCGTCGTCGTCGTTATTTCCATGTCGTGTGCTATCCAGTCCTGTTTGTCCTGCCAGCCCATCCAAGTTTGTTTGAGTGTTTGTTTTATAGTTATGTTTTTCCCCCTCGGGGTGGTTTTTGTTCTAATTTTGTTTTATTTTTATTATCAATAAATCATCCTGTTTGCACTTGAGTCCTCGCTCCCTCATCCTTCCCGAACCCTGACAGTTAGAAGATAGTTATTGACAACCCTGGTAAGTGCAGAGATGTAAAGCATCTGTTCTGCTGAAATATTTTTGGACACTTGTTTAATTTTTCAATGCACATTCACACACTTACCCCCGTTAACAGCAGCAGGTGCGACCACGATCCCCTTCGCCTCTGTTTTAGGGGAATTCTGCCCGTAGCGCCCGTCATTCTTCGTCACCATCTGTTGAGGGTTGCCTTTATGGTCCAGAACGGTGGCGTTGACTATGGCGCTATAATAATCCTCCTTGTTCACCATGGTTTTGTCGGCACCGATAGACAGCGAACACCTGGGCGAGACGAAGGCGAGGAGGAGTGCGAGAAGGCAGCTGCTGCATGACGCCGGCGCGGCCAATCTCTTCAGCATCTTCGGCAATGTCTTCACCGATCAACGCGACCCGACACTGCGATTCTTTCAACGGTCAGCTCTGTCTCAAGAGCCCTCATGTAAACATACTGTCCTCCTCTCAAGCCACGACGTCGGTTAGGAGAACCATGCGTCGCTTCCTCTGACAGAAAGAAAGGGTTGAGAGATTTGTCGACGTTACTGACTTTGCAATGACAACAATTTCACTGGAGAGGCTTGAGTCAGTATAATGGACCCGTTTGCTTTTTTTAAAGCCTTTAAGCCGCTCATTTAATCAATAGGCTAGCTTTTTACGACTATTAAAAGGCAACAAATGTGTCTCTTCTGCTGTCAGGACCGCTTTGTTCGCGCTGCCAGCCCTGACAACCAGCTGCTATGCAACAAAAAACCCAATTATTCGCACGCTGTGATTCAGCTTTATTAAAAATGGTTATAATGAGACGTCTTACCTGCTCTTTCGCTTTATTATTTACAGCCAAACTCTCTATTTGTTGCGATATTTTACAGCGCTGTGGCTCGCTCGGCTATAGGCAGACCGATGTGTTGCTGTTCTGCTTGTTCGTTCCCTTCTCGCCAACACTCAGACGTTCGCGTGTGCGCATGCGCAGAGCAGCGCGTCTCTCGCACGGCGAGATCAGATCAGTGGGAGGGAGAAGACGGGGCCACATCACCATCATCTCAAAATGCGTAATGCTGCTGCTGCTGGGCCTTATATTATTCACTCTTTTAATGCCGTATTAATAATAACATTTGCGATCTGTTTTTAATAAAGAGTTTACAAAGAGCTGTTGAAATATGTTATGCATTTTGTAAATCATATTGCACAGCTCCTAAAGTAGCCTACCAGTGCTGCTGAATGAAATATGATGTTTATGAAAAGAGAGCATGTAAAGCACAATATATTTCTGACCATGCCATGTCACGAATACAACTTCTGTGTTAGTCTGTTCTGTAATGTTCATTCATTCATTTTCTTTTTGGCTTAGTTTCATTTTTAATCTGGGGTCGCCACAGCGGAATGAACCGCCAATTTATCCAGCATATGTTTTATGCAGTGGAGGCCCTTTCAGCTGCAACCCATCACTGGGAAACATCCATACACACTCACTCACACACATACATAAACAACAGTCAATTATTAGCATAACCAATTCACCTATACCGTATGTCTTTGGATTGTGCTGGAAACATGCACCCGGAGAAAACCCACACAAACACAGGGAGAACATGCAAACTTCACACAGAAATGCCAACTAACCCAGCTGAGGCTCGAACCAGTGACTTTCTTGCTGTGAGGCGCACATGCTAATCACTGTGCCACCGCATCACCCTGTAATGGAATGTTACCAATGTTGAATAAAATCCATGTAAACCTCTTTAATTTTAGCATTAATTTTTAATCTTAGCATATTGCCTAAAGAAGCATCCTTTAGTTTAAAGTTTTAGTTTTAGTTATGTTAAAAAGCAATATAGGTGTAGTATTATTCATATAAAATATGAAAATAATCAAATCTAACTCAACAGTATAACTAAAACTATCTTTTACAGTTTAACAACACTAAAATAACACAGATTTTGTAAACATAAGTTAATGCATTATAGCTAACATAAACGAACAACAAGCATGTTCCGCATTTTCAGAATTAGATCATAAAAATCTAATTCTTTTGTATTATTATTTATTCATGTCCATTAACCAATGTAATAACTATGGTTTAAAACTGTAATAGTACCTTTTACTGAATCCATCTTGTTTAAAAGGATTGATAACAAGGATATATGGTGTTTTGTCTAACAACTGCATTTCTTTTGTCAAATTTTATTTGGTCATTGAATAGACAATATTTACAAATTCCAGTATTAGTTTTCTGATATGCATAAACAAAAAACAAAACAAAAACAAACACCCCACGCCCAACCTCTAAGTATAAAATACAGTGATAATCAAAACAACTTTTTAGTTACAATATGCTTTGGGGAAAAGAATTCCCCATGAAGTGACCAAAGAAAGGGCCCCGAATCTTCTGAAATTGTCTAATTTTGCCTTTTAAAAGATATCTGGTTAGTTCCAAGTGCAGAATAGATATCAATTCTTCAAGCCGTAGTTTAGCAGTTGGAGGATTAACATTTTTCCAGTACAATAATAGCAGCTTTTTGGCTGTTATCAAACAATAAGGAATTTCTGTTGTGCACTGCTCAATATATATGTATAACGTGAATCAGGATGTCCTAATATATAAAGCATTGGGTCAGGATGAAGGTGTTGATCAAGGACATCTGAAAGCACTTTAAAAAACAACTGCATGTCTGCCTAGCTAGGACTTTAGGATGTTTGGAAGAAAGATATTGGTCAAACTATTGAAGAGAATGACTGAAACATTGTATGTGATATTACCCAAAATATGTCTCTCTGGGATCCATGAAGTCATATATCTTACACCAATAAGTATTAAGAATAGGTTTGCCAATGCCACAGACTTGTGTTTCAAATGTAAAATTAAGGTACATTCACTCATTGTTTTTGGGATTGTGACAAAATTTAGCCAATTTGGAAGAAAATACACTAAATAATATTATCAAGTAAAATTTTTATATGAGCCCAGCTTTGTATTTATTGAATCATAATGCAAACAACGTGTTTGAAAAATATGCAATACATTTATTTACTGTATTGTCCTGGGATATTTAGCTGAAAAAAATATTTTGCTACTAAAGTCTGCATCACAGGCTTCATCTTTCAAAATGTGGATATCACAAATTGCTATGGCTACCATTAGAAAAACGTACCTATGACAAACATAAAAAATCTGACACATTCTGGTCAATTTGGTCTCTTCTTGAGGAATATATAAAAGACCTCTCTTAAATTGCGCACATAATCCTTGTTGTTTATTTACAATTTTTGCTTAATCCCCACTTAAAGACTGCTCTAAAATGGTGTGATTGTACTTTATTTTTATCTTTTTATTTATTTTTCTAAATTAATTTCTTTGTTATTTTTCATATTTAGAACTGTGCACTCTGTAACACATTTATACATTTTGTATTTTTGATGTTAATATTTTGTGAATGTGGGCATACAATAAAACAAAATAAATTTTAAAAAAGCTGTATTAGCAAATGTTGAAATCCCCCTGAAACAATACTGAATTAACAATACATCTACAGCACTTAGCAATCTCGATTAATGTTAACTATAGTTGCCCGATATTAATAAATGGATCTGTTTGATACATATAATAGGTTCACATTATATTATATTGTATTACTTTTTTGTTTGTGAGCATGAATTCATTGTTCTATTCGCTTAAGTAAAATAATGCTGACATTTCTACATTAGATAGGTTACATCTTTTTTTCTGGTGTTCCATGCACAACATTTGGCACACCTGCTGCATCTGTTTAGCCAGATGGTGGTGAATAAAAGTGCACTGGAATTGTCATTTTTTTCTTTTTTTAATGCATAATATATTAAAAGAAATCTATATTTAATCTTAACACACATCAGCAGAAGACAAAATATTATTTTACTCTATATTGACCTATTTCACTTTTAAATAATTCACTTTAATAAATAAGCAATTCCACTTGATCTTTGGCACTCTCTAGTGGAGGTCGTATAATTCCACATTACAATAAATTATAACACCAAACTATTATTCAGTGTATTGTCATCACATATTGTAGGTCTATGCTGCAGCTACGAGCCAGCCCACTCATATATCAACAGCATATTTCCTTCAGATTTTCTCTCAGATCCACATTACTTGTAATAGGCCTGAAATGTGAAATGTAGCATACATTTTGATCAGCATATCTAAATAAATTATTGTTAAATATTCTAATGGATCATTTGTGTTTGCTTGTTGTTGACTTGCACTACATAACAAATAAAAATATTAATCAAAATTGAAATATTTTAGATGTTAAACCAAATATTATTTACATCATGCATTTAATGTTTATTTAAAGTTACTGTTAAACAAGGTTAAAGAAAGATACTGAAGATCAGAGGGATTTTGGAGCAAACTTATAAGTGGATGATGACAAGTGATGACGAGGTGTTTTTTTTTTTTTTTTCAAATTTATCTTCCCTAATTTTCTAAACATTATTAAGCACATGGCCACAATGTAAGGCGAGTATGACAGCATGCATAACGTTTAATTTTTGAAAAATATTCTAACATTAAACCCTTTGTTGACTACACACTAATTCATGATTTGTTCATGATATTGATATTGATAGTTCATGATTTGTCTTTAGAGGATGGTTCAACATTTCCTTTTATTTTTCCAGTACATTTCTATAGATATAGATAAAAATAAAATACAATTTTGTTTATTCAATTATAATTAGTTGTTTGCTTGTTTTGTCCCTTAATCCCTTACCCTTTACTGACAAAGGTCCAGAATTTGTCCCAAATATTAGCTAATTTCTCCTATTTTGACTGCCAAGACATCATAAATTGTAAAAAATAACCCATCAAAGGCTTTAAGATCAAGTGGAATCTGTAAGCTATTGTATTGTTGTTAAATAGAGAAAACATTTTAACAAGGAACTTTCATTTTAATCTTGGACCTTATTCTTGAAAGAAAAAAAAGAACAAATTTTAATACTAATTAGGCTGTTGTTGTTATCCATGAATTTTCAAATGTACTTTTTACAATTGAGGCTAGAAAAATCATCAAGCTCTACATAATAATAATAATAATAATAATAATAATAATAATAATAATAATAATAATAATAATAATAACTATTATTATTATTATTATTATTATTATTAATGGTTCATTATTTAAGTAGCCAGTTTATTATTTGGCTATAAAGGACAATATATTACAATTTTTAATTTAAATCTTTATTTCATAAAGTTAATATTATAACCGTACATAAAGTTATGTACATAACATAAACATAACATGATATACGTAACATAAAGTTATGAATAATGAAATAAAAAACCTTATTTTATTTTTCCCCTAATGACAGTATTAAATATAAGTATTTTCTTGTTCATATTTCTTTAATCTTAATCTTTAGGAAACATTTTAGTACATCAAAAAGTGGTTAGTGTGGTTATAATGACCATCCAACGAGCTAATCCAGCTAAAAATAGTGCTTAAAATGTCACTAAATGCAGCTTATAAATCTCATAATTAAATAGACAATAAATTGAATGACTGCAAAAAGGTCCACTTTTACCAGGCTAGCTACGGGCCTGCAACCTGTGAAAGAATGCAGGTCTGCTGTGACATGCAGTCCAGATGCAATAAACACGACGTGCTCGAACACGACACAAAAGAAAATTTAAACTGTGTTTAACTGTAAACAAGGCTATTGTTTCCAAAAAGAAAAAAAAAGAAAAAAATTGAATAATTCCTCAAGATCTCTACGGAGCGCAATTAAACTACAGTATATTAAACTAAAATAAACTATAGGCTAGATGGTGTGCTTTTACATTTATTTTATTTATTTATTTATTTTTACAGATTTTAAAATATAGCATAATATCTCAACAATGAAGACGTTCATGTTGCAGGTGTGCAACAATGTCACCATCTAGTGCTCATCATCTACAGCTACATTATGTTTTAGTTTTTTTTCCCACGAATGGCATCAAGTATTGAAAACTTTAATATTTACAAAAGCTAGCCACTTTTCAATAAAATCACGACGACAATCACATAAATACAGCATTTAAAGAATATGTAACCTACAAATGTTTTCTTTATCAATTAAGATGGAAGCCTTCATTTAAAAACAAAAATATAGGTTTAATTGTAGAATTGTAAAATTTGAATATATAAATAGTTCAAATCATTTATAGGCTAGCATATCAGTTGATTATTACGTGAAATACAAGTTTTGACAACTATGTAACGTAGTATTTTGTAATGTTATGAAAACATTTTTTAATTATTGCTATCATTAAGTGAAAAACAAAACATTTAAATGAATATTTTGATAGAACAAAATGTCATTATTTTTCCCTTCTCTTTTTAAAAAGGGAACTAGACAAATGTGCTTGTTGGAAAAACACTTCTTTTGACAAGCATCCACATTTTTCCATAGATCTTTCGTTTCCTCCCCTGATCCTATCTCTTCCTGTTTGCTACAGAGGTGGTTTTGAGCTGAACATTTGAGTGTTCTACTGCGTTTCATTGTTTAATAAATTCCTTAATACAGAAATACAGGCTAATTATTAATTAAATCAATTAAACATCAATTACTCATCTCTAGTCCACAAACGTATTAATAATGTTGACCGTTTATTGTACCATTGGACAATCTGTCTCCAAATGAATGAGAGAAGGAAAAATGCAAACATTGTAGCAGATGCTCACATCTGTTTTATGTCCTCGTACTTATAGAGGAAAAGCCAAAAGACAACTCGTTGATTGGTCTAAACCCAAAAGGAGGCGTGACTAGAATGCATACCCGACAGAAAAAGTATATTAGAGGTAAATAGAGTGGAGTGAACAGCTACTTTTACACTCAGAAAATCTTTTCATTTCACGTCGCTAGGGAAGTGCTTTAAATCATTTCAACAATACTTAAACGACCAGTATGGAATTTGTTGTCAGTTCTCGAGTGCCTTTTCTGTATCTCCTCTTCATCTTTCTTCACGTCTCTTCAGCTGTAGATGCAAACATCTCGATCATCGTTCCAAGTAAGTCTTATCTTAACTTTGTGGTAAAAATCTTTGATAGTCTACTTGTCACGATAACGTTGTAAAACAAAGGTTATATGAGTAAGTATAGCAAATTTGGAAAGAAAGGTGGGGGTGGCAGAGTTGTAACATGCACAGACAGGACATGACATTCATTGTAACACATATTGATTCTATCTTACCACTGCTAAGCAAAGCACAGAAGTGAAAAACAGTGACAAAAAGTGACACCATTTAGTCACCCAAATGTTATTTCAAATCTGACTTTAATTTTCCAGAATAATTGCTTTAAATTAGTTTTGTTTGAGTGATCCTGCATTGTGGTTGAATAAGAAATATATCTAAAAAAAATTTAATAATAATAGATATCTCATTTCCTCACTGATCATATCTCTTCCTGTTTGCTACAGAGATGAGGTTAAGAGTTAGATATTTGACAAAAAATAAAATAAATAAAATAATAATAATAATATACATATACATACACACACACACACACACACACACACACATATATATATATGTAATCCCCCCTTCAATTTATTTATTTATTTTATTTCAGGAGAGTCTTATTTGTTTATTTCGACTAGAATAAAAGCATTTTTTAATTTAAAAAAAAAATATTTTATGGACAAAATTATTAGCCCCTTTAAGCAATATTGTTTTTCTATTGTCAACAGAACAAATCATCATTGTACAATGACTTGCCTAATTACCCAGATTAACCTAGTTAAGCCTTTAAATTGCACTTTAAGCTGAATACTAGTGTCTTGACAATTATCTAGTAAAATATTATGTACATGGTCATCACAGCAAAGATAAAACAAATCAGTTTTTAGAAACTAGTTATTAAAACTATTATGTTTATAAATTTGATGAAAATAAATATTCTTTCCGTTAAACAGAAATTGGAGAAAAATCTACAGGGGGCTAATAATTCTGACTTCAACTGTATATATACACAGTAGTCAACATATGTAGTAAATCAAGAAGGATAATCAAAGTTGTCCTAAGACGATATACAGTATTGTTCAAAATTCATGCCCAATATGTAGTTCTGTTTTTAATCAACATTGTTATCTACAGAATTTCATACTTCATCACTTTTGATCGCACACAGACAAGATTGTTTGTCACAAGATGTAAAATTGCTTGTCACATTTCATGAATACGAGTTTGCAGCTTCCCAATGGTTCTGTTAAGGTCAGAATCCTGTAGTCTAACTAAATTTGGCATTATATTCGCGTTCTGACCTTAAGCAAAGCTTTCAGAACCTTGAATAATGATCTCTACCCATTACAGACACATGTGACAGGTCAGTTGTTACCTAATGATAAATGATTATGTCTGGTGTTGACAAAAAACCAATTAACAATGACATTTCTTATTATGATGTGGATATTAATTCATTTGAATTATTTTTACAATTGATATTGTCTGCAATGTGTACAATACTGTAAAGTTTTTTTTTCTCTCTCTCTGTTGTAATAATATTTAGGTTTAATTGTTCGTAAATTTGTTTCGATAGCAAGGGATGTTATGAAAAAAAAATACAACCCTGAGTGTACAAAGTGTTTTTTAATTGACTAGTAACAGACTGACATTTTTTGCATGAATTTTGAAAGAAGCACATTTTTGGTTTTATGAAAGCTTTGATTAAAATTTTAATTCACATCAAATGTTGACTATGCCAAATTGTTCTTTTAATACTTATACAGCTTATTATTGGTGTGGTGTCTTTAAAAGAACAAATTTGCATCTTATTTTACTCATAAAAGTAAAAGTTCAGTACAGCGTTTTATGTGGTTGATAAAGTAGAAAGTTGTTTTAAAATCACTTTTATTGTACTGTATTGTCCGACATAAGCTTATACTGTTATTAGGATTTTAACATAGTTATTTCAAGATTTCTGTCCTGTTATTGATCTTTTATAAAGAGTTTTAAATATTTGAAGAAATATGTAACCTTATGTAACAGACAAATAAATCTACAAATCTGACTCAGTTACACCAATTCTGTCAGGAGAAATGAGTCAAAATTCCTCCAAACTATAGTGAGAAACTTGTGGAAGGATACCCAAAACATTTGACCAAAGTTATACAGTTTCAAAGCAAAGCTAAAAAATACCAAGGAAATGTGTGTAAACTTTTGACTGTCTAGAAATTAATAAAAATTCCCAAAAAAAGTTCTCTCATTATCCTGGCATTTAGCAAATGTAGATAATTTAGGTAATCCTAATAATTTAGGTTATTAGGATTTTAACATAGTTATTTCAAGATTTCTGTCCTGTTATTGATCTTTTATAAAGAGTTTTAAATATTTGAAGAAATATGTAACCTTATGTAACAGACAAATAAACAGTGACATACTGAAAGTGAAAACTCTACAAATAGTAATAATAAATGTTTACAAAGTGATGTCTTATACTTTCAAAATCGTGATCACTATATACACACACACACACACACACACACACACACACACACACACACACACACACACACACACACACACACACACACACACACACACACACACACACATACACACACACACACACACACACACACACACATATATATATATATATATATATATATATATATATATATATATATATATATATATATATATATATATATGTACAGTTGATGTCAGAATTATTAGCCCCCTTCGATATTTTTCCTATATATATATATATATACACACACACACACACATACATACATATATGTATACATATATATATACATACATACATACATACATACATATATATATACATACATACATACATACATACATACATACATACATACATACATATATATACATACATACATATATATACATACATATATTTACATACATACAAATTTTCACAGTATGTCTGATAATATTTTTTCTTCTAGAAAAAGTCTTATTTTTTATTTCGGCTAAAATAAAAGCAGTTTTAAATTTTTTAAAAACTATTTTTGGGACAAAATTATTAGCCCCTTTAAGCTAATATCTTTTCGATAGTCTACAGAACAAACCATCGTTTTAGAATAACTTGCGTTATTACCCTAACCTGCCTAGTTCACCTTATTAACCTAGTTAAGCCTTTAAATGTCACTTTAAGCTGTGTCTTGAAAAATATCAAGTTAAATATTATTTACTGTCATCATGGCTAAGATAAAATAAATCAGTAATTAGATATAGGTTTTTAAAACTATTATGCTTAGAAATGTGCTGAAACAATCTTCCCTCCATTAAACAGAAATTGGGGAAAAAAATAAACAGGGGCGATAATAATTCAGGGGGGCTGATAATTGTGACTCCAGCAAGTTTTTTTAGGCATCCGCTGCCTAAAAAAAAGGAAAATGAATGAATGAATGATGGAATATTAAATATTTCCCAAATGCAACACATTCCAACAGTGAAGTATGGGGGTACGGGGGTGAAGTATGGTCTGTTCTGCTGCAGGAGGAACTGTTCCATTTCACAGCATAGAAGGTATCATGAAAAAAGAACATTATGTATAAATACTGAAGCAACATCTCAAGACATCAACCAGGAAGTTAAAACTTGGCCACAAATTAGTCTTTCAAACGAACCATGACCCTAAGCATACTGCCAAATTAGTTAAAAGGTGCTTTAAGGACAACAGAGTGAATATTTTGGAGTGGCCATCACAAAGCCCTATAGAAAATTTGTGGGCAGAGTTTGTGGGCAAAAGCTTGTGCGAGCAAGACAGCCTACAAATCTGACTCAGTTACACCAATTCTGTCAGGAGAAATGAGTCAAAATTCCTCCAAACTATAGTGAGAAACTTGTGGAAGGATACCCAAAACATTTGACCAAAGTTATACAGTTTCAAAGCAAAGCTAAAAAATACCAAGGAAATGTGTGTAAACTTTTGACTGTCTAGAAATTAATAAAAATTCCCAAAAAAAGTTCTCTCATTATCCTGGCATTTAGCAAATGTAGATAATTTAGGTAATCCTAATGGACCTAAAATGGTAAATGTTTAGTATTTTACCATCAGACATATAAAAAAAATGGTTATGTTCCTTTTTTTAGAGTGTATGTACACTTCTGGTTTTAACTTTATATATATATCAAATGGCCAGAAAGTGTTTCATTGTTTTTAAATTGTTAATATATTGGTGTCTGGGATGCAATGGATGAAGTCCAGATTTTGTTGTATATACCATGATTTTATATAATATTCACTTTAATGTGTGAAATGACTAAAAAGGCCATAAATGAATATTTTCAATTCAAATGAGTAGCAGCTTGAACCCGGAAACAGTATTTCATACATCACAACTTAACAAGGCGACGCAGTGGCGTAGTAGGTAGTGCTGTTGCCTCACAGCAAGAAGGTCGCTGGTTCTAGCCTCGGCTGGGTCAGTTGGCGTTTCTGTGTGGAGTTTGCATGTTCTCCCCGCATTCGCGTGGGTTTTCTCTGGGTGCCCTGGTTTCCTCTACAGTCCAAAGACATGTGGTACAGGTGAATTGGGTAGGCTAAATTGTCCGTAGTGTATGAGTGTGAATGAGTTTGTGTGGATGCTGTTAATTCCGCTGTGGATTATCCCGGATTAATAAAGGGACTAAGCCGAAAAGAAAATGAATGAATGAACAACTTAACAAGCAGATACATGATGGAAATGCATAATTCCTTAGCTGTTACACTGTGAAACACTGAATGATGAATGTATTTATTTTTAGAACCTGAACAATGCATTCAATTTTGCATGTTCAGTATTTATCATGGATTTACTCCATTTATGGCAGCAGGGAAAAATTAAATTTTATAATTTGAATAATTACTGCAAATCAGATATTCCATCATTCAACTGCTCGTGCTTATAGCCATAATTGTTATAGATCAAGAGAAATTTAAATGTATGAGCCTTTTTAAATGTACGGAGCCAATGACAAGCTGTTTTATCATGAATGGTACAAGTTTTTCCTCTTTTTATGAAATGTACAAAAATCTATTAAGATGAATGTAAACAAAACTGACACATCTGTCTTTCTTTCTCTAAGAGGGTCGGAGCCTGCCACTGTTTAATGGTTCATTAATAGAAGAACACAAGAAGCAGATTCAAAGCAGCAGTGTTGAATTAGTGGTTCCTCTCATCTGCCTCTTCTCCTTTACTGCCGGACTTCCCACCAACTCATTTGCCCTCTGGGTGTTGCTCTTTCGCACCAAGAAGCTGCCGTCCACCATTCTGCTGATCAACCTCACCATCTGTGATATAATGCTTCTGCTGGTGCTCCCCTTCAGGATCGTTTACCACTTTGTGGGCAACAATTGGACTTTCGGAGAGCCGTTTTGTCGTGTTGTGGTTGGATTCTTCTATGGAAACATGTACGGCTCAGTGGTTTGTCTGGCACTGATTGCCTTGGATCGCTATATAGCTCTGGTTCACCCTTTTGGTGCCAAAGTGCTCCGAAGTAAAAAGAACTCTGTCTATATGAGTGTGTTGGTCTGGATAGTGGTTTTAGCAGCTGCTGTGCCCTTATTAGCCTCAAAACAGACTCATGAGATAAATAACCTATCGATAACAACCTGCCATGATGCACTGCCTGTTGAAGAGCAGGAAAATTACTTTCTGCCATATTTTACCACTCTTTTCTCCCTTTGCTTTTTGCTTCCACTATTAGTGGTGCTGTTCTGCTATTCTGCAGTGTTACGGACACTTATGGCTGAAGGGCAGCGTTTTGCCCATGCGGTTAGAGTCACTGTGCTGATGTTGATTGTTTTTGTTGTTTTCTTGTTGCCTAGCAATATTCTCATGCTGTGGCATTATTCTAAATCAAGTTCGGTCAACAATCTTTATATGCCGTACCTGATCGCTTTGTCTCTCAGCACATTCAACAGCTGCATCGACCCTTTTATTTTTTATTACGTGTCTAAGGATTTCCGAAAGAGGTCATGGGAGGCTCTCAGGTGTTTGAAGTCTGATTTAGAGTCTTCTTCAGATTCTAGGACAAAGGTCACCTTACTTTCAAAGATAAGCAAGACTGAAAGACCTTTAAATGGGGAATCAACTCATTTGTGATGCTAGGATGACCATTTCGAAATACGTAAGTTATCAGGTTATTTCTTGAATTTTAGGGGTATTGAAGGACTGAAGGCCCACTCATACCAAAGATGATAACTATAACAATTTAGATAAAAAATCTCTTAATTGAAAAGGATAGCACACCACAACTACAGTGCTCAGCATAAATGAGTACACCCCATTTGAAAATGAATATTTTCATCCATATCTCAGTCAATATATGCAATTCATTTTGGTGTAGTTAAACAAAACAGGTTTATTAAACAGATGTATTTATTAAAATTATATTTTAGTCACCAAACATATTTAGAAATTGAAAAATAGTACAATTAAATTCAAGCAAAATATTGTAAATAAAATTGCAACCTACAAAATATCAACTAAATTACATTTTCATGCTTCTCTTCATTTTTTTATATTTTTCTACAACAAAAATTTGCGTACTCTAGTTTTTGGACCGTTATCGTAAGTTATTTTGTTAGATAAGCTCCAGATTTAGCTTCAGTACTGCCTAATCTAATGTATATGCACAAATGTAATTATGTATAGCTTCCTGTTAAAATATCAATTTAAAAGAGAGATTTGTGAGGGGTGTACTTACACATGCTGAGCACTGTATTATGATAATTATAAATAACTGTATTATAATAGCCTGATCTAACGAGGAAACGCAAAACATATTTTACGGTTTGTCACTTTAGTGGCTAATTCGTACAAATCCATAAGAGTTTAGAGGTACGAAAATGTACGATTTTAAAAAGAGAGCGTGGCCCCCAACCTCGCCCGTAAACCCAACTGTCATTGGGGATAATCAAATCAAACTAAATTGGACAAATAAGATCGTTTGAATTCAAATGAATTAGCCACTAAATCAAAAAGTTATGAATTGTTGTGAGATAGTGTTGGTACTTACACAGTGGAAAATGTTTGTTGGAATCACAGTTTTTTTCAACTGGTGAATACTAAAACATTGCCAGTCAGTGACTATGTTTACATGGACATTAGTAAATGAATTATTTGCCTTAATCTGACTAAGAAAATAATATGATTAAGGTGTTTAATAAGTTGCTTAAATGTCGTTTTCATGATCCCGTTTTACATGTTATAGCACATAATTCGATTAACGTCATTGTGTCACTACGCTATTTACGTTTCCTCTGGAGTTTCATGTAATTTCGGTTGTTTCATTTTTAATTTGTCGACTTTATCTGCAGTTTGGCACTTTCACATTCATTTAGAAACTTTTCATGCATGCCCCTCGTGACAAAAAGATATTGGATGCGAGTATAAACTGCTGGAAGAGTGTTGTTTTAATGGAATTTGATACCGCACACTGTATGGGAGAAAAAAACCCCCTCTGCATTCCACGATGCAGGTATCTGTGTTCCTTTACTGACTTGGTAGGTGCAGAGAATAGTGTCAAACAGCCATGTGTGTATGGAATATCCTGTCGCAAAAATCTGTGAAAATCCTACATGAAGGTAATAGTTTAATTAAGGTGTTTACATGCCTGTACCGCACTTCATTAATGCGACTAAAAACTCCACATGTTTTAATACGATTTCTGTTTAGTTTGATTATTACATCAATCGGGTTAATCAAAAAAATCACTGTTTACATGGTAGACTCTTAATCAGAGTACTGTCTTAATCGTACTAAAATAGGATTATTAATGTCCATGTAAACATAATCACTGTTTAATGTAACCTTGCATAAAAAGTTCCAGCATTTAAAGTTGCAGACTGCAATGCATGTTTATAATGTGCAATATTATGTAAAGGTTTGGATGCTATACAGTAATGCTTACAGATCTAAAATATTGGGTTGTACTGTATATGGTCAAACCCACTCCTTGGGTTGAATGTTTAAAAATATATATATTAAACAAAAGAATAAAATGTTGGATTTTTTTATATTTTACCCAACATTGTCTTATACATCCCAGCATTTTTAAGTGTAGTGTTTATAGTTATCTGTATTGTATGAATGGGCCTTAAATAGAGCTGCGTATCAATGCACAGAAGGCTATATAACTTTAGTTTCATTTGTACAGGAAAATCTGGCTAGGGGGAGATTATAATTCTATTTCCTCCTCCTTTCCATTAGTCATTAGCTATAAGGGACAAAAGATCATTTTTAAAAGAAGGGCATTCAACAGCCAACAGCTTTCATTTCACTTCTCTCATTATTAGCATTAGTTCCCCAAGACTCAGCTGTCTCTGTGGCCTATATTGACTGCTGGATAAAGTATGTTGGAAAGCTCTGCCACAAACAGTTTTAATAGAGTGATTCAATGAAACTCAAACAAACTGCGGCCGGATTTACTACATAGAGTAAATTAATATCAGCCCACAAACAAATCAGGAAAAGTTACAGAAATACAGAAATGAAAGAGCACAGACTTATGACCACCCTAATGACCAATGACATTTAGCAAGAGCAGCAAAAATGTAAAATAACACTGCTTAGTGAGTGAATCATTGGTTTAATATTTTCTTCAGGCTTTTCAAAATACTGTGAATCAACAAGCGTGGACAAAATGTGCTCACTTAAACTATTTGTTGCTGCATGACATTCTTTTTTTTTGTGGGCGTAAATAACATATTATAAAAAACATTTATAGATCATGATCTGTGGTTGAATGAAATCATCACCCTATCATAAACTCAGCATATGAAATGAGTAATGTATTTAAAACTTCTACATATACATATGCCTTTTTATCAGTGTTTTTCAATTATGTGGTTTAAATAAGCCTGACAGTATTTTTTTTTTAAGCCCAATGAGATTTACGCTTTAGCAAGCTGATTGTAAATTTGTTCCTTGGTATTTTTGTAGCATGTGTGAACCAGGCTTTAAAAAGAGGAACCCAATGTGGTTTAAAATGCTTCAGAATTATTCATATCGGAAATTCCCTCATCATATTCGATTGTATTAGTTCTTAGCCTATTTTAGTAATGAAGATGGATGATGTAATGACAAAAGGAATGCTTTTAAGTGGAAAACTCAAACATTGGAAGGTAAAATTGAATAGAATGCAGAACATAGTGGACAATGCAATTGCTCTGTACAGGCCATTGAATATCTATTGTTTTGTGAGACAGAAGCTATTTTGTGGGGGTATGAGAATATCCGAGATGAGCAGGAAGTTCTAAACCACGTGTTATGTCCGCAATTATTTACTTCTCTTATATTTGTAGATTTTTTTTAATGAGATTTTTATTAGAACTATGCATGACAAGCAATATATATATATATATATATATATATATATATATATATATATATATATATATATATATATATATATATAATTTTTTTTGTAAAATGTTTGTGAACCGTTACTTAAAATATATTCCTCATTATCTTCACTTTTACATTTTATTAAAAGCACCAATGTCAATTTTTCATGATTGTGTAGGCTTGCTTCCTTTGAGAGAAAAAACTGAAATGAAATGACATTTAGTGGCAACACTGACCTCTAGTGAAAAATTTAAATTTGCATATGTGAATAAACTGAGACTTTATACATGTTTTATTACAGTAATTACATGTAAAAGGATGATCAGTAGTTTTGCAAACACAACAAAACAATACAAGAACTTGTAATATATATATATATATATATATATATATATATATATATATATATATATATATATATATATATATATATATATATATATATATATATCAAAGGATAACAAAATATTGCAATGTTAGATTTTTCCAATATCGTGCAGGCCTAATGGGCAATCAGTTTGCTCACAATCAAATTGCTCACCAGTTCAGTGTTTAACAGGATCTGCCTTTGCATTGTGTATAATTTTACAAGACTAACCTTTGCTGGGTAGCATGTTGTGCTAGTTTAGAAAGTGAACTAGTATAAAGTTCACTTTAGTGATGAATGCATGGTTTGTGTGCATGTATGTGCGTGGGGGGACAAACCAAAAAATGTGCACAAGTGAGTAAAGATGGAGGTCAAGTGTCATGGTTTGGTAATGTTTTCTAAAAACATTATTGAGCTTCTTATAAAATGTTAACACAAATGTTTACAAGAAGCTTCTTCAGCAACAAGCAGTTCCTGCCCTACATTCATCACTTAAAAAGCTAGCAAATTCCATGCAGAACTATCAATATGTGCTTCATTCAGGTGAGTGGGTTTGATAAACCACCTGTAGAAACACACTTTACTACTTATGCACCTGACACTTTATCTAAACTCCATCTTACAAGAACTCAATGAAAATGATATTTACTATAAATGTACCACAATCATGTTGCACTGCTGGCTTCAACCGTAAATATCTCTCTTGCACAATATCCTGCACAACATTGTTCAGTATCATGTAAAAGTCTTATGTGTAGTTAAGTATCTAATAGTATATGTTTGTTAAATAGCTCTTACGTCCAGTGTTGTGTTTGTATTTATGATTGAATTATGTAACACTGTTGTCCTGTGATACACAACATTTTGTTCCTCAGTATGTCCAGATGTAGTGAATTGACAATAAAACTTGACTTGAATTGAAACTCATCGCACAACAAGACAAGTAAAGCATTTCCTTGAAGCTGAAAACACCCCAATGAAATGGAACGGTCAGATTCCTGATCTTAACCTGATTTAAAATCTCTAGAAAATCCTTTGAGAAAAAAGTTAAGGCTAAAACAACCCAGTCAGTGAAATGTGGAAGAGTCTGAAGAAGACTGGAACAACATCACTGTAGGGCTAGCAGACTGTTGTTGGGTGAGACTGGTGTAGTGTAACTTTTTTTTTTTTTTTCTGGTCCAGCTTTGACCCAAACAACCAGCTTTTTTTTAATAGCCAAGTTAATAAGCCAGCCCTGAACTGGATCTTAGCTTGAAGTAAATAAAATTAACAATAGTCTTTAAAAGACTGAGACAAACATGAACATTACATTTTGTCTTTTCCCCACACTTCCCCCTTTAAATATTGTTTCTTTCTTACCTCAGCCCCTCAAAGTTTAGATCATGGGTCTCAAACTCTTTTTGGAGGGCCACAGTTCTGCACAGTTTTGCTCCAACCCTAATCAAACACAGCTGATCCAATTAATCAAGGTGGTCAAGACTACTACACTGCAAAAATGCATTTTTTTGTCTTGTTTCTAGTCAAAATATGGAAGAATTATTTAATCAAGAGGGATTTTCTAGACAAGCAAACATATTTTCTTGTTTTAAGAATTAATATGACAAAAATAAGTAAATTTTTTCCTTAAAACAAGCAAAATAATCTGCCAATGGGGTAAAAAAAAATCTTTTGTCAAAATAAAAACAATATTATTGTGCTTGCCCCATTGGCAGTTTATTTAGCTTGTTTTAAGAAAAAATTCACCTAAAAAATGGCACATTATTTTTTTTTAAACAAGAAATTATGTTTTGCTTGCCTAGAAAATTCTTTATGATTTAAGAATTTTTAGATATTTGGACTAGAAACGACAAAAATTTTAGGTAAAAAAAAGCATTTTCGCAGAGAAAAAAAAAATCCTGTCTGCCTTAAATTTTTAAACTGAATCAAATTAACCTTATGTGTCCATTGAACTTATATTATTTTAAACTGACTTAACAGCTTGCATAACTTATAAAACTAAGTTAGAACATGATTAACTTAGTTTAATAAGTTACAATGACCTAAACACATATGTTGTCGGTAAAAGGTGATCATTGATTTTTTTTTTATAGTGCACAGACTATTAAGCAGAAGTGAGTTGGTGGTGGTTGGAGCTAAACTATGCAGAGCTGCGGCCCTCTAGGAAAGGAGTTTGAGACCATTGGTTTAGATTGTCTGAAATTGTCTTCTCCCAAATTCAGACTGTGTACTAAAGATTGTTAAACGTTTGATAATATTGGGCAAAAATAAGAATTTACCAATCTAACCATGCCATGTAAGAGACCTTTATGTGATAGACTAATGATTTTCTTAACGAGACTTGTGATGTCTTGTGGCCACAAGTACTAAATCCATTCAAAGCAAGGGCCTGTGCACTTCCTTCTTACCTTTGACTGTTTACATTTTTTTCCCTGAAAAAAATCAAGTGTTTATAAACTGCTCTCTACTTTTGACCTCTACTGTTTATGCTTCTAAAAACTGTCGACCTCACCGAAAGCATCTGAAAAGTAATCATACCCTGTAAATATAAACAGATTGTACAGTACACTCTTGCACAAGAGTGTAAAGTCTTATAGACTGACTCAACCACAAACAGTGCTTTGATTTCAGTTGTCCTCTTGTCTTTACGTTTAAACTACCTTCACTGTAAAAAGTAATTACTCAATCTACTTGAAAAATGCTTGTAAACTTTACAAATATTGGCAAATTTGTAGACTTTAATTTGATTTGACTGTGTTAGGTGTACTTTAACGTGCATCCTGTGAATAAAATAAAGAACTTTAGTAAACTGTACTGAAGTTTATCAATTAAGTTTGACTAAAGGTTGAAGCCGGCGTCACGGTGGCGCAGTGGGCATGATTGCCTCACAACAAGAAGGTCGCTGGTTCGAGACTCGGTTGGGTCAATTGGCATTTATGTGTGGAGTTTGCATGTTCTCCCCATGTTTGTGTGAGTTTCCTCTGAGTGCTCCGGTTTCCCCCACTGTCTAAAGGCATGCGCTATAGGTAAATTAAGCTAAATTGTTCATATTGTACGTGTGAATGCAAGAGTGTTTCCCAGTGTTGGGTTGTGGCTGGAAGGGCATCCACTGTGTAAAACATATGCTGATAAATTGGCGGTTCATTCGGCTGTGGCAAGCCCCCATTAATAAAGGGACTGAGCCGAAAAGAAAATGAATTAATAAAGGTTGGAGGCGTGCAGTACTGCACTTTGGTCAGCAGGTGGAGTATAACTTGCAGATAAGCAGACG